TAAAGATTATTTTTTTCCTTATTTGTTGTTTGTAGTAAGATTTCTCTTAGTTTCCCCAACATGATACTTGTATCAGAATAAATTTTGAGAGATATAGAGTGAGTCTTATGTGATACATATTTACTCATATTAGGACAATTTTGGATTAGTGAGGATGTATGGACTGAGCTAAAGAGAGCTTATGGCAGCCCAGACAACAAAATTAGGAGGGAGCAAAATAGGTAGAAGAGAGCTTCAGATGTCGGATGATTAGGAAACTCCCAACATATTGTGGGCTCTATTCCGCAAACTAAGTATAAATGATTATTGGTATGAACTTTAATAAATTTTAATAATTTCTTTGTATATATATCTAATCTAAGTATATCATAGAAGGAGATAAAACCCATGGTAGTCGGGTTACATAGTTACACTCATAAGCATAAGTAGGACCAGTAGTGGATGGAGTGAGACAAGAGGTTATACATAAGTATATAAAAATATTATTCATATAATAATATTATAAATAATTATTATATTATGATTATTCTTAATATATGTCTTGTTCGTTAGATGAGTATGCATGGGTTTAAAAGAGCCAGCGGCAACTAGAGAGGTATCCTCTACGGGTTCTGTAAATACTTCTGACTAATGCATTTAAACTCAGGTGATAGAGGGATATAGAAGGTGCAAATTTATGAATTAAGCTCACAGGCCTTCACATATGAGGGATAGTCCTCTTCTGCCTCTAGCGACTTAGTAGAAATCCTAGAGAGTTTAGTTAGCCAGCATGTGGCTAACATAGCAGCAGAGTCAGAAATTGTCCAAAAAACTCAAGCGGACATAAACACAAAGATATTGGAGGAGCTTAGAATATTGAGCAAGTGGATTAGTGAATCTCAACCAACATCTCCATCGACGTAGCAGGAAGGTGAGCATACAAATTTTTAGATTGTCACTTGAGATGGCTTTTGATACATTTGATGTCATTTGATGTACAAGTTATGTTGAATATGATTATTTATTCATTAATTCACACAATTTGTGTAGTTTCATTTGATTATTTTTGCGTTACATAATTATTTTTTTATAATTGCTTGGATTGTTAATGTTGAAATGCCCAAATAATGATTATTGGATTTATTTTTTTGTTTATGCTATAGATTCAGGATGAATTTGAGGTAAACAAATCACCCACAAATGTTGATATGATGTTATGGTATCGATTTTTGTGATGGAACTATCCGTAAAAAATTGCGGTAGATAATCTGCCATAAATCCACCTAATTTGTGATGAAATCTATGGTTGAATACAAAAATAAAATTGTCATTTCATTCCGTCACAAATCCGCCGCAAAATAAAATTTGTTATAGAGATTTCTCCGTTGCAAATATGTTTGTGAATATCATCTTAGCATCGAAACCATATCCATTGCAAATCTACTACAAAATAAGATTTGCGATAGATTTCTTAGATTTTGAGGTGAATTTTACCTTTACAAAATAGCTTACTTTTCTATAGTTTGTCGAATTGGGCTCGACATGGTTCTCTTAGGTTGATCAAGAACACTCGAGGGGTGTGTAGGAAAATGGGCTCAAGAGTGTTATATATTATGGAGAAGTTAAGAATGTATTTAAACAAAATATTATTTTTAATTGTGATATAAAGTGTGATCAAATTACTCTCTATATTATCCATGCTCTATCCTTCTCATCTCTTTAGTAGTGGCCATCTACTAAATCATAATAAGCATTTTTTTCTTTCATTCAACTAAGCATTTCATTAAATGATTAGCATTAAGTATAAATCTTTTATCTTTACATGGATATTCTTACTACACATTTACAAGATGATGTGTTAGTACCCAAAACAATACGATTCACATATAAAAATATCTTATCGTGCTAGTTTTTGATTGATCGAGACCACGTATATCATTTCAAAAAATACACCCTTATGACTTCCAAATGTTGAGCACATATCATTTTTTTAGAAATTCATGCCCTTATAACTTCTTGTGCTTTCAGCACAAGAACTTCTTCAAATTTCATAATTCCACATAATTATGCATTTTAGGAAGATAAGTGATTATATCATTGCACTGCACTAAAAAAATATAAATCAATGAATTTAAAAAATTCACTTAACACTTTATCGATAGCCAACAAAATTCACTACTGAGCATAATCTCATAATTATAAAATTTTATGATATTTTTGAAGATTGTTTAAAACACTATTTTTAAGCTGTTATTATCCTATAACAGTTTTCTTAGGTGTCAAAATCACTTTATATCTTAATAAAATAATGCATTTTTCAAACTATTTGTCAAAATTTTCCAAAAGAAATGCATAAACACTACAGGAAAGTCAAGGATTTGCGGAGAAGAATTCCGTCTCAAAATAACAAAGATCTATCATAAAATTTGATTTGCGGTGAATTTCTTTCCATTGCAAAATATCGAGTCGCAAAATTGTTTGCGACAGAAAAAATCTATTGCAAATATTTGTGTCAAAATTTAAAAAAAAAATAGAAATTCAAACCTGATCGACCACCTGAGCCTGACCGGCTACCTGTTCAAACCCGCATGACTGGATGACCTTGCTTCATGTATCGTCCGGGATTTGATCCAGGTCCCTTTTTCTTGCAAACCATCCCCTTCTCCACAAAGATGTAGAGACAAAATACAATCAAACACATTTTTTATTTATATTATACTTATCTTACGGCGGATTTGAGATGGAAAATTCTATTGCAAATTTGTGGTGGAAATTTTGCAGCAAATCCATCCCAAAAAAAATTCCTCAAAAATTTTCAGCGCAAATCCATCGCCATTTTGGACAAAAAATAGTCCGCTGCAAAGTCCACCGCAAATCCGTAACTTTAGAATAGTGAAATGTCCAGAATTATTGTCTCTTAAACATGCAAAAAGTTACATGATAAATATTTAACATGGGTAAAGATATTCTCATTTTCACACAGTGAAAATTAAAGTTTAATCAGAAAAATTCAAAAATTTCTATATTTTTGAAATTTGGGATAGATAAAATGATATCTACCTCCATCCAAAAAAATTTTCAGAACTAGATCGACTATCAAAAAATAAAATAAAGTAGCCAAAATTTAGTTGTATCTTTCTAGACATCCTTCTCTCTCTCTCTCATCCACTACACTCACGAAAACAAAATGGATTTGATAAAAAGAATATTTGGGTGGATTTTGATATATTCAGTTAATTCATGTTAAGAGCAATGACACTCGGCCCTACAGCATCGTAATTCTCTCCAACGGAGAGCATTGTGCCACAATGCTAACCCTAATGCCACATCTAAGAATTATTCTGCTAAAAACAAAGAGAACATAAGGCCATAGCATTATGGCACCTATAGGGAAAAAAATTAAATTTTTAAATATTGCACACAACCTAGGATCCGCTTCATAATATATTCATACACTCATCTAAAAAATAGAACAATGAGAGATATATGAAAGAGATTTGAATGAAGAAATTCTAATGTGTTACAAACCCTTACCAGTCCATGGTAGAACATGTATAACACGGATTTTGTAGGACTTAAATGATGTGCCAGGGTGTATATATGTTTTTTACCAATGTTCTTCATGTTGATAAGAGTAGAGATGGAGTTGATGAAAACCTAAATTATGAAGTTCAGTCTTAGATTCTAAAGATTTTGATTTGAGTCGAGCTAAAACTGAATACATGTAGTGTAATTTCAGTATTAATAGATATGATCGGGGGATTGTTACTTAGGGCGATTAAGTCATTAAAAAGAGTACACATTTTAGGGGGATTGTTCAAAGTGATGGTGAAATAGATGGGAATATAATTTGTAGAACTCAACTTAGATGGTTGAAGTGGAGGATGCATCGGGCCTATTGTGGGATGGAAAAGCATCCCTCAAACTTAAGAAAAAGATTCTATATGATGTTGGTGAGACCTGCAATGTTTTATGGCACAGAATGTTGACCATTGAAAGATAAGTATAAAATTAATTTAAGTGTTGCAAAAATGAGGGTGCTCAGGTGGATGTGCATGTTTACTCTTAGAGGCAAAATGCAAAATATGTTTACACATAAAAAAGATGGAGCAGCTCCAATGGTAGATAAGATTTTAGAAAATTACCTTAGATTATTTGGCTGCATAAAATGCCATCCTTTCGATGATCAGATATGGAGAATAGATGTATTAGATTTGCCATGAGTTGAGAAAAGTAAACATTGATCTTAAAATACTTGGTTAAAAATGAATAGAAATGACATTTTTTTATTAGATTTAAATAATATTTTGACTATTTCTATGATACAATGGAGAAAATGATTTATGTAGTAAACCTCAAGTAAAGGGATAAAGGATTGATGTTATTGTCTTTGTATCCAAATAAGCATTTTCCAATTAAACAAAAATTACTCTTTTTGCCTTAAAAAATGTATTTCAATTAGATCATAATAATCCAAAAATTAATGCATAATTGTTAAGAAAAAAAAAATACAGGTATACGCATTTAAATTATTCTAAAATTAGATTAAACAGAAATTTTTTTATAAAAACTGCGCAGCTTTGTTTAAAAAAAAAATGCAACACGATCTTGCAATTAACTTTCGTATATACAAATAATAATTCGCTGAAACAAATAACCGCATATTTCATTTTAATTATTAAGAAAAAGAATTTTGATTGTCTGATTTTTTTTAGTTATTGAAATTTTATATTCATTATATACGATTGTAAATTAGAAATTATTTACATATTTACAAACTTTTAGCCAAAAAAAAAAAAAAAACCACCGAGGAAATTGAATAATAGAAGGACACAACTCACTTTGACCTCTCGGTGGAGAGCTTAGGCTTCCAACTAAGAGATTATAGGTTCGAGTCTTTGTGTATACGTTCTGTGTGTGAGTTTGTCTTAAATGACCTAAATGTAAAAAAAAAAAAAAAAAAAAAAAAAAAAAAAAAAAAAAAAAAAAAAAAAAAAAAAAAAAAAGAAGGTTAAATGCTGTCAACAAACATCGCCGGCCACAAACACCGGCCCACGCCATTTTCTCGGGTTTTCTTCCTCAGACGTAAAGTTTGGACACGCGTCGCTAAGCTGATTCACGAGGTGCAGGTAGTGTTTAAGATCATGGCAAGCCACCACATTTGCGTTCCGGCTGCCGCGGAGCCGAAGCTCCCGCCCAATGTCAGCGTACACCCACCCAGTCTTGGAAAGCAGCCAATTTGGCGCCAACCCTTCCTTCTCTGAATTATGGACGAAGCCCGGAACCTTGGTTATGATATCATTTGTATTAACAATTCGGAGAACCTTACTTCCCTTCGCCTCCATTCTATGCCCAAAACTGGCATTTCCAACCCGCGGCCCGCCAAACGATACTACGGTCACCATCGGTCCAGTACGGCCAACCATTGCCTTTACGTCATCAGCGGCCAAAACGGCTAGCGCTGCCCCAAGGCTGTGGCCCGTGAACGTGAAGCTGATCGCTGGACCACTATCGAATTCATTAAGGAGGCAGCGGACCACTTTGCGGATCTGATCGCGAAGACTGTGGTATTCGGGGCTAGAAGAAGTGAAAAGGTTCAAGAACCCGCGCTCGACCATGGGCTTGTGCTCGGAGCGTTCAGGTTTCGTACTACAGAAGGGAGTGAGGGAGGCATGCAGATTGTCAAGCCATTCCAGGAATGTTACGGTGCCACGGAGGGAGATGACAACATCCCGGCGACCTAGGCGAGAGAGTTCGGTGTCATTATTGCATACGGCTACGAAGCCAATACAGCTGGACTGGCGAGAGATAAATGAGGGGGCGGCGTCGGCGGCCCAGCGAGGGAGGCTGGAGGTTGAGGTGGCGTGGAGATTGCGGGTAACACGGTAGCCTGATGAGGGGAGGCCGGAGAGACGAAGGAGGGAATGCTTGGGAAAGCGGCAGGTCGCGTAGGAAGAGGAGAAAGGGTCAAGCTCGCAGCAGGTGTATGCGGCCTGGACAAAGCTGCCGTAGCGGAGTATCTCGGCTCGGAGAGTAGGGTTAAGGGGGTAGAGTAGACCGTCCCAGTTGTTTGCGCCTTGGAATTCCATCCACCGGTTGCCCAGGAGGGTGGCGGGTGGGTCGATATTGGCTGTGGAGGTGATCCGACGTGTTATGTGAGCGATGTGGTAAGTAGGGATGAAGAACGTTGGGTGGCTGATGGCGGAGACAGTTAAAGTAGATGGGCTCATTACGTGGGTGCTTTTTTCTATCTTTGCCGTGTGTCCTGTTTTTTAATGATAGAAGAAACGGCACTGATAAATAGGAAATTACTAAGTTCGCGCTGATATTGCCATTGATGCGACCTATTTAATTCTGCTGCATCTGTTGGAGAGTTGTCCTGCAGCTGGTGCAAGGGTTTCGGTGGAAAATCATTGCAGAGGTTGGGTATTTATAAGTATGTGGCTTATGTTGCGTGGGAATAGAAAAGAGACGGACGATGCATTTGCTGGTAGTCCTTCTTAATTAGGCAATCTAATTGGCATAACAATGGATTTCTTCCTATTAATTATCTAGTGGTCTTTTCCGAACTGTTAGAATATGTTGATGACTGATTGTAAGTTTAATTTTATTTTTGGCTGGCCGGTGTTAGTTGATCAAATCATCACCTCTTAATTATCTAACTTATTAAGGGCATTCTATCTCCCTTTCTAAATGTGTTTTCTAAAATTTTTATCCTTAATATTAAGATTTCTTTTTAATAAGAAAGCACATAATTTATTCACATAATTTTTTCGCAAAAAACCAACTTTCAGAGAGAGAAAAAAAGAGACACCAGCCTCCTTTTCATTTCTATCTAAATTATATATTGTAGAGTAAAAAATCTCTTAAACTTGTGGAGTCTAAAAGTTTATTAAAATTTTTAATAATCATAATTGTTGCGTCATGAAAAATTCACGGTGGTAGAGAGATAAAGAGCTTAATGTCTTGGCATTGAAAAAGAGCTAACATACAACATATGAGAGAGAGAGAGAGGGAGAGAGAGAGAGAGATGCAAGAAATATATGAGGCTCCATAAATTTTATGCAGAAAAACTTTAAAAGAGTGAAGAATCATGGGTTCTTGCCCATTGAAATGAATCTGCTAGTGTTTGTTGTTGATTACAAATGATGTCATTTCTCGAGGGAACACGTTGGCTCAATGCAAAAAAATATAAAGAAAATTAGAAAGTTGGGGTCGGAATAATACAATGATATGAGAGTTACTTTCAAGAGAATGTTGGCATGTTCGTATGGATGCTACGATCATGGTCAGGCGATTGAGGTCAGAGGGACCATAGTCAGACGTTGGAGATCAGAGTGATCGTACTCAAGCAGCCGAGGTTAGAGGGACCCTAGCTGGTCAACTCAGGTCGGAGAGATTATAGTAGACAAAGGATGATGGTCAAAGAGACCTCAGTTGGTGGGCGACAGTGCTTGGTGGGATTGTAGTAGACAAACGACGATGGTTAGAGGGACTATATTTAGCGGGTATTGGTGGTTGAAAGAACCGTATATGTGAGCAATATTGGTCAGAGGGACCATAGTCAGTGTATGATGATGGTAAGAGGGACCGTAGTCGACATGCAATGATGGTTGAAAGGACTACAATCTATGGGCGACACTCTTCGGGGGACCGTATTCAGCACGCAAAGGAGATCGAAGACCAGTTGACTGGCAACACTGCTTGGAGGGATCATAGTCAGCCGGCGATGGTGGTCACATGGACCATATAGTAGGCAAGTAACAGTGGTCAAAGGCACTATATTTAACAATTTATGGTGGTCAGAGTGACCATAATTAAAAGGTGATAGTGGTCGGAGAGATCATAGTCATTAAGTGATTGTAGTTAGAAAGATCATAGTCTACTAGTGATGGTGGTCAAAGGGATTGTAATTGATTGTTATATGAAGATAAATGTATGATATCAATAGTCAGGGGGAGGTTCAACTTTGGTGGCCTGGTGGTGAGGGTGCTCAGTTGATAGTGTCTGGGTTGAGGTCCAACATTCTTCAAGGCTTATATCTCTCTTGTTCTCTAGCTCAATCTCCAAACATCCAAATGTTGAAACTCCCATTTAATGTGATAAGAGGGGGTGTAGTTATAGATTTTTAGAGTGACATGCCCAATATATATGATAAAGATCTTGAAAAAATTTTGAGTGTTTCATTAGAAAATCCATATTGATTCCCTCCCTCATAGAGCATTTGCCAAGCTTTTATGTGTCTTAATAATATCAGAAAGAAGCGATATTGGGCATACTAGATTAATCTCATAGAGATGTTCATATCGAATATTAGCATGCCATATTTGGATATCATTGGATCATGATCTTCTAATTAATGCAATATAGATTTTAAATATGCTATGTGTCCTTAAATTTGAGCCTGTTTGGGCTCATATAAGACCAATTTTAGTGTTGTTAGTTTCTTCTAGAAGAGATTCAATTTGACATAAGGTTTACTGAAATTAGAGTTCAGTTGGTCCCGAATTAAATTTTGAAAGCCTTTAATTAAGTTATGGCTCGAGATTCATGCTTGATAAAGGCAATTTTTAGTGTAGTATCAGTTGCAAACCTATTTTCAGATGCTAAAACATACAAATCTAAAAATACATGTTAAAGTTTTTTACACTGTTGTAATGTAAAAATAAAATTTTTTATAACCATGTGCCGCCATTGCTCTCTATACATCAACATGGACCACCCCTTTGAGTTGTGAATCATGTAAAATATCCTTGATTATAATTTTAATATTTCTTAAAGTTGGCATAATGATCATATTTAAAAAGCTAAAAATTTCCTTCAAAACTATTAAAATGGCTTGAAATTGATTCTAGAGGCCCCATTCTGCTCTAAAAGTATCAAAAAGGAGTCTAGAGCATCAAAGAATTGATTAGAAGGATCATAAAAAAATCAGACTATCCGAGTAAAAAATCAAGCACAAAAGTTTCTCGGCGACCAAAGTGGCCAGCAAACTACCTACCACGACCATCATGCAGTATGCATGCTCGCCTAGCACATGCATAGACTTGCAATCTGTGTGACTATTATTATTATTTTATTAGTTATTTCATTTTATTAAATATTTAGAATTGAAAAAATATGAAAAAATTATTAGAATAATACAAAAAAAATTATTTAAGGAAATATTTTAATATATAGTTTTTTATTTATATTTTTAATTTTAATATAAATTTTTCCCTTATTTAATTTATTAAAAAATACATTTTTTTAATTTTTTATTTAATTAAACTAAAATTTCTACAAAAAAAATTAGTAAAAATCTTTTCAAAAATTCTCCCTTTTAGATCTATTAATACCCCTCTTGTAGGTTAAGGAAAAGACAAGGATTTCTGAAGCCAATCCAAAGTTTCTTACATAAATTGAGGAAATTTTTCTAGGAAAAATTTGGAGGCTTTCAATAGTGATCAAGGCCCAACCCTCTTACACATGCTCCAGTTCTCCCCTAGAGAGGAAAACTATCTAACAATACTGTTGATTCTTATTGAATCTTGATTAGATTGTTAAATCTAAACTAATATCCCAAGGCTATCTAAGAGGGGGGAAGGTGAATTGGTAATTTTTAAAATTATTTCTTAGATTTTAAATTTTGAAACCGATTGATATACCAAACAAGTTAATTTAAAATTTTCAAAATAACTTTTCAGGCACGAAATTAATAACATACAGTAAGTAAGTAGCAGAAAAATAAAAGACATAAAAATTTATAGTGGTTCAGTCAAACATGACTGCATCAACTCCCTAAAGCCTCCCACTTCAAGTATTGCACTATTACCAAAGGGACTCTCCTTTAACCCCCACGGCAAGGTGGAGAAGCCCTTACAAAAACTCTATTCTACCAATCATTGGTGCGGCAGAGAACCGTTGTCCTTTCACACCCTCTAAGTATAGGCAGAGAACCTTCGTCCTTTCACACCCTCCAAGTATAGGCAGAGTGCCGTCGGTTATTCACACTCTCTAAGTGTAGGCAGAGAACCTTTGTCCTTTCACACTCTCCAACTGTAGGCATAGAACTTTCGTCCATTCACACTCTCCAAGTGTAGCATAAAATTAGAACTTATCTGAAGATCTTCTCACGAGCAACCTAGAAAGATATGAGAAAGAGTGATAACCACAATTACAAGGAGATCCTTATCTTTGAGTAACCTTGTAAACCATTCATATTCCACTTGCAAGAAAACTCTCTCACACTCTCTCCTTCAATTTCCCTTGAAAAATCACGTAGACAAGACTATTTCACATCAATTTTAGTGGACCTTTTATACAAAGATACAAAAAACCATCCGAAAAACTAAAATTTTCAATTTATAGCATTCACGATCATACCATACGATCGTTTGTTCATACGTACGAACAATTCAAATACTATTGCGTACGAACCTATTGTGAATCGATACGAAATTATTTTATACCTGATCATCCTCAGGTACGAATTAAGTTCATCTGGGATGAACAGATATAAATTACAATTTTCATCTATACGAAATGTCAAGTTGAAATGAGTGAGAATAGACCCGGGATGTTCGTCCTGATACAAAAAGGGAAGCGTTCGGTACGTTCAAGATTTAGAAAAAACATTTTTGTGTGAGAATGAAATAGAGGAATTCATCCCTATATGAAAATTAAGATCGACCTGTATGATCTTCGTCTGAGAACAAAATAAAGGAGTTCGTTCATGTAAAAAATTTGATATCGTCCCATACGATCAGGACTTAGAAAAAAAAATTTGTGCGTAAACTAAACTGATACGTTCGTCCCTGTACGTTGGTTTGATCTTCTCGTATGATCAGTTCTTGAGAATGAACCTGAGACATTCATCCTCATACAAAACTTGGATCATCCCGTACGAACCATACTTATAAAAAATAATTTCATTTTTGTTCGTTCCCTTGCTCGTTGGGGAAAAAATAACTGATCAGATCATCCCGTTTGAAGTAATATCATACAATACGATCAGTTTAAAAATATAAATTTTAAAACTCTCCCCCGGTATGTGTGTGTGTGTGCTTACTAACTCAATTACAATCACACTCTTTTAGTCTCAATAAAGTGAAAAATACATACTTGAAACACAATTATCTCTAAACTGATCTTGATTTGAAGTCTTCAATAATCTAGAGTATGATTTCTCTTAAATGTTAGTACACATAAGAGAAAAATAATTCTTCTAAAATGTGTTAGGAGAAATAAT